GAAGACGCTCAACTCATCTTTCTGGGTTTTTTAAAGTTTGACAGTTCCCTAAAGTCCTATACCAGTGATGGCTAACACTTTGTTGTCCCACACTCATAATGCAGTGCATGCGCGATCCCCACCCAGCACCCATCTCTGCACATGCACGCGCATGCACGTGTGACCTCTGCCCCTCTTGCCCCGTTTTGGGCCAGCATGTCTCCCTCCAGCTTCCTGGGAGCAAAACGGGCACCGCACACCCCCACACTTCCCATGGCCCTGTGCACAGAACAGGAATCATTCTGCCTCACTTTTAAATCAGCCAGCAGAATCAATTTTGTAATAAACCTTGGGAAGTGAAGTTTTAATTTTAGTAAACATAGTTCAGCAATGTTGCAGTTTTGTACATAGGGTTCAGCATTGATTTATAGACACATGAATTTTTAAAAATCTTGACACATTGTCTTTTTAAATATACTGTATTGGTCAAACAAAAGTATCATTTGAAATATTGAAATCCCTATAAACAAGGTAGACACAAATCTTTACAAATGTCATTGATACTAATGTCCAAGATTATTATTTTAACCCATCATTCTTATCCTTGTTTATTTCATGATTTTATCACAGCTAATCAAAGAACTTATTCAGACCTTTTAAGAACATAAGCAGTTTGTTTTCAATTGCACAACAAAATCACAAGTTTCTTGGCAGATGGTCTTCAGAGACCAAGCCAAGAGGCAGCACCATATGTTGTAGTAATTCCAAAGCTTAATTATCCATTGTGTAAAGAAATATTTCCCTTTGCCTATCTTAAGGCTTCCAGCATTCAGTTTTCATTGGGTTCTACTATTTTGGGAAGGAGAAAATAGCTCCTCCTTAATTTTATTCACACCATGCACAGGGAAGCTGTTCTAGTCCTTTGATTATCTTAGTGGCCCTTCACCAACCTTTCTTTAGCTCCACTATTACCTTTCTGAGATGCAGTGACCAGAACTGTATAAAATATTCCAGAGGGTTGCACCACTGATTTATAAAAGGCCATTATGACAGTGGCATTTCTATTTTGGATACCATGACTTATTATCTCTTAACATGCTGTTGGTCTATTTTACATTGGATGCACATTGTATCAAAACCTTCATTGGACTGTTTATCATTACTTAAATATCTTGTCAGTTTATCCAGTCATCATTTTCAAAATGGAATGAACGTTAATTACCATATTTCCCCCAAAATAAGACAGGGTCTTATTTTCTTTTGACCCCCCCCCCNCCTGTTTAAATAAGAGTAATGTAGTTACAACCCATGACTGGAAGGGTGGCAGTAGTACACATTTAAAATGTAAGGATGTATTAACTAATGTCACAATACCCCCTTTAGCTCTCCCCACCACCACCTTGCTTGGGACAGCCGGAATTGAGTTAACCCAATAGCCATCTAACTGAATCTCTGTGGAGGCCCAGGTTTCCTGCAAGAAGAGGATGTCAAATTGTTATATATAGTCAAAAAAGAGTTGGTCTTTTGATGGGATGGACCAATCTGCTATATTCCAGGTTATAAGAGAAAGAAACAAGATAGTGAAATACAAATAATTATTGGATGAGCAAGGGAAATTAAAATCTAATCAAGAGTTAAAGAGCCAAGGAATAAAGACAAGCTGGTGTCTATACCTGAAAATCAGGACAAGATACAAAAAAGATCTAGAACAATAAGGCTTCTACAGAGAACAACAGGAATCATATAATTATTTCTTAAGATTTAAAACAGAGGAAGAAACAGTGAAAGAAACGATAAATTGGGCTAAAATTTTGGTTATAGTATTGAATTAGAACATTGGAAAAATTATGGGAGAAAAATTACAAATTAACAATGTCAGCAGCATACGTAGAAAATTTGTATAAAATGTTTTATCATTGGCATTTACCCTTGGCAAGACTGCCCAAAATATTTCCAAAGTGTTCGCCTGAATGCTGGAGATGCAGCTACAAACAAGGAACTTTCTACCATTATTGGCTCAAAGTAAAGAAATAGTTAGAAGAAATTACAGAACAAAAGATTGAGCTGAAACCGGAACTATTCTTATTAGGGACATTAAGGGGAAACATGTAAAAAACTTCAATACAAAATACTGCATATATTAACAGCAGCTAGAATTGTTTTTGCTCAAAACTGGAAACAGAACAACACTCCTTCCAACATAAAGATAATAAGAAAGGTTCTTGAGTGTGCAGAGATGGATAGGTTAACCATAGAATTAAAGGATAGAGAAGAATTGAAATATTATAAAATTTGAAATATATGGTACAATTAGCTGGAAGATAGATGTAAAGTTACTATATAAGGAATATGCAAGATCTATATTAAAATGAGAAAATATTGTATATATTTGTAAATATTGTTGTAACTTAAATAAATATATAATACACAGAATAGCACCTTTCCTTTCACTAGGTGTCCAAGTAGATCCTTCATGAGGGGGAGGAGGTAGGTGTTCTCCATGCACATGTCATTAATTCTATGAAAATCCACACATTCTCCCATCTTTTTTCTCTTTGAATAGCACTGGGGCCACGACTTTGAATTTTGCTGGTTTTATGAAGCTGTATGCTAGGTTAGCATCTATGTATCTCCGTAGCGCCTCCATTTCTTTGGAGATCATGGAGGTCATTTTCAGTTTTGGCAACTTTGCTCTTGATACAAATTCAATAGCACAGTCTGTTGGGAGGTGAGGAGGGAGGAAGTTGCAATCCTCCTTACTAAACACCCTTGACAAGTCGCTGTATTCTCTGGGCACCTGCTGGCTGCCTGGTACCCTTTCTGTGGCTGAGGCTGCAGTTTCAGCCTCCATGGGGGCGCTGGGGGGTGCATCCTCCTGACAGCTATGAGGTTTGACAGGTGGCAACAGGCCAACCCATATTGTCAGTTTTCTAAAGCCATCTTCCTACTTCATGGTTGGGGCCCATTTGTAGTGCCAGGCAAGTTCTAGGATGATTGATTCTGACATTTTTGGAGCTATAACAAATTGGAGGAGTTCTTTGTGAAGGCCCATCTCTAGTCTGATGAGGGTAGTTTGGGCTCCACCTATTAGGGTCCCATCAACTTCCTCAAACTGGATGGGCGAGCTAGGGATCTGGTGCAAATGCCTAGCTGCTTGACTATGGGGAGGATGATTAGGCATCTGGTACACCCTGTATCTATGATGGCTTCTGCTTCCTCTTGGTCCTCGTCTCTGGCACTACTAAGTGGGCTTTAATCATAAAGGAACCAATGGCTCCACTTATCAGGTTGTCATCCTCTCTGCTTCCCTCGATTAGGGTTGGTAGGCTTTCTTTGGATGATGTTCCCTTGAGCTAGAGGAAGGAGTGGATCCTCTATAGCTTGTTGGGTTAATTTTCCTATATCGGGGGCTCAGCACCATGTAGAGGCTGTGACTGCCCCTCAATGGTGGGCTTAGTGGTGAGCCATTGGCCGAGCAGGCATCTCTTTTGTTGGCTCTCCATCCACTCCTTTGCAGGTGGAGGAACCTGTGCAGGAAACAAGGACCTTGCTGAGATGGGGTGCCCTCCTATATGGAGCCAACCTCCACTGGGGTGGAGTTTCCTCTGGCAACGGCATTGATCAAAAGTCTCCAGTCTGGGAGCACCTACAGGGGTTTCATGCAGTTCTACAGGTCTGCTAGGTAGTTGGATTGGCCAGAGGGGATTTCCCCCTGCACTGCTTCTGGTGAGGAATTGTTGGCCCAGCAGGCATCTGTTGAGGGGGGCTCCCCCCTCAACAGATTCCTCCAGAGCTTCCTTTGCTTCATCCTGCAGAGGTCTGCTGAGCCAGCGTCCAAGCAGCTGGCACCCGACTGACGAAAATGCAGCCAGTCAGCAGGGAGGAGCAGCAAGTATGGGAGAAATGCCCCCACCATGGAGCAGAAAGCCAAGCTCCCACTCTTTGCTTCCTGCTCCACAAATCAGTTTCACTCAAGCTTGGCCGGTTGGGGCCTTTGCGTCCTTCCAGGTTTTCCCCACCCAGTTGAAAGTTCAAGACCCTGCCCCACACCCACATGTCCATAGCTCAGTCCAATTAGACACCTTCCCAACTGGAGACATCTTCCAATCACTCCCATGCAGGTTCAGGGGCAAGTTGTCATTGACTCTCTGTGAAAGGAATGTTGTTATGGCTATACATCCACCAGGCTCCATACAATCCCCCCTCCCAATTCCCCACCGTTTCAATTGTGGCAGGTATGAAGGCCCAATTCAAAATATGGCTTCTAGGCCTGACAGCATCTACATAAAGGTACATTATACTGAATTTAATGAACTTACTTCTGGTTGGAGGAATATTTAGCAGTTGCAGATACTTAATTTTATTCCATTTTTTCTTTAGGCCAGAATCCTTTTTTCTTTGTTCTGGTGACAATTTTTTTTTTATGATCTCTGTTCAGCATGCCAATCAAAGACAGAAAGTAGGCCTGACTTTAAAAAAGGCATTTCAAAAGGATCACAAAATCCTAGACCATTTATTGTACTGCAGTAAAGAACATACATCCATTGGCCTGTATTCATTATGTCCAGCAAAATCCTAGGGATATTGATAAGCCCACTAGCAAACATGCTTCTGCTACATAATTCTTTTACCTGAAGAGTAAAATTTAAGTCCTGAAAATGACACTCAAAATCTTCCAGCTTTGTAAACTGAGATGCTGCCGCTGATTCGCCATAAATAAAAGAACTGGGGGACACTATTCTGAAGAAGGAAAAGACAGAATATATAAGAATGTGATTATGACCTCATTTTATTTAATTGCACAAATTAGTTCCTTCTCCTAAAAATCTTTTGAAACTTGATATCTTTTTGCTAAGTACTGTTATCACAAAACAGAAAAGAAAACATAAGCAGAATTATGGAAAATTAAACAGACAGGCCTACAGCATGACCTCCTTTTCATGGGTAGTATCCCAGAATATTTGACCTAAATATTGGTCTAGTGGATCTAAATAAAAATATCTAACTCAACCTCAGAAGTCATCTCTTAGTCTGTAATCTTTCTATGAGAAGGACAGCAATCAGCACTAATATTACTGTCTGAGAAATTACTTGGGGGGGGGGGGGAATGTTCTATTCTTGTTTATAAACAAAAGAAAAAATAAATGATCACTTTTGTACCCAGTGATAGATGAATCCACTTCATGCATCAGGGGGACTGTCAACATGAGAGAATTGTCCTGAAGATTGTGTTCCAAGTTCCCACTGCAGGAAACAAAAGAATCAAGGATATTGTATACTATAATGTATTTTCATCCAGGAGCTTGTTATAATATTCATACCATTTCCTTCTATTCTCCCCCACCCCACCCAAACAACTCTGAATTAAACAGGACTGGAAGAGCTCAAGTCACTTAGTGAGCTTTTATGGCTAAGGGTGAACTTTAACAACTCTTCCTGGTGCTTCACCTGCATCTTAACCACTATAGCACACCGGTTTTCATATCAAGCAGGATGGAGAATCCTTATGAAGCCATTGCCTGCACCAACTGGATTAAGTACTCTCTCCCCACTCCAAATGGACAGATGAATAATAGAGAAATCTCATTAAGTTTTATAGAAAAACCAAAATCAATTTCATGAAACTTTGTGATTTTTTTTTAATTAGACATGCAGAAGACTTTTTTTTGCAGAATTAACCCTTGCTATATATCTATATCTTTAATCTTAGCACTTGCCAATGTCAAATATATTCAAATATGTTACCATTGCTTCAAATATATTCCCATTGCTTGTTGATGAAACATAAACTGAACTTTCCGTGACAGTCCTAAACAGATTAGTATGAAAATAAGTTGTCTTTTGTAAATAAAAGCTGGTATTTTAAATTTTGGCCAGAAGCAAACTATAGTCAAGGTGTTTCCAGTCTAGCATAATTCAGCTTCTTAAACTTATTGCTGGTAATAGCCAAGATACCCCATATATCCTCGTGTGTGCGTGTGTTGTGTGTGTCTGTATCCTCATATATATCCATATATATCCATATCTATCCATATCTATATCTATATCTATATCTATATCNTATCTATCTATCTATCTATCTATCTATCTATCTATCTATCTATCTATCATCTATCTATCATCTATCTATCTATCTATCTTTGGTTATTCGGGTTTTCTCCCACATAAAATTGGAAGTGTCTTGGCGACGTTTCGATGAAGTCTCATTCATCATCTTCAGGCTTGTTTGCTTGGCTTCATGCTTCCAGGAGCAACTTCGTATATTGTCATTGTACAAAATAAATACAACAAAATTGGTTACATTTTGTACTCCTTTCTCATTTCAGTCCTCATCATTCCTGGATAGGATAATGACTCCCCTACCTAATCCCCAGTAAACCATTGCTAGTCAGCCTAGTCCAGATTTCTCCAGTTAGCCAGCTTGTCCAAAGACTGAGAAGTTATAGGGATTGCAGCTGCCCAGAATTATCTGATAGTGACAGGTGACTAGGCCATCCAGGCAGTCCTGTTTGCTGGGAGAAACAGTGCAAACGGGAGCCACATGGCTGAGAAGCCAAGAGTTGAGGCAGCGCAACTGAAAGAAGACCTAGCAGCAAGGAGCAGCACAGTGAAGCAAATCCTGAGAGCAATGCAGAGAGGAGCATGGAAAGCAACAGTAGAGCATTGGTGGAACCAGAGGATGAGGATTGTGGTGGAGCATTTCAGCAAAAGGGATCAGGTGACTAAGAATGGCAACAGAGCAGTGCAGCAGACCAACAGATGAGGAAGGTGGGAACGCCATTAACTGAGAAAAGTAGGGAGAGCTGAATGCCTGCTAGAGGCAGGAGAATAGCAAATAGGAAGAGAGGATAAAAAGACAACATAGGACACAAGGCCAAAAAAAAAAGAAAGGCAAGTAGACAATAGCAAATACAGAACATATAAAGGCAGAGAAGAAAGAGATAAATTAAGCCCACAAGAAGACAGGGAGGGAAAGGATCACAAGAAAGAAGGGAGGAAAGGAATAATTATAGAACATTCCAGTACAGACTAAGAACGAACTTCGCACTTAAGCCTACTCAATACTGAAAATTTTTAAATTGGACAATTTAAATGATCCGCTAGAACTTCAAATTTTTAAACTAGACAATTTTGAACTACAGGATTTTAAAACCTTAAACTGTTAGAACTTTAAATTTTTAGCTAGACTCCCCTCCCCCCCAAATATGAAATTTGAAATTATCTATTAGAATATCAAAATTCTAAATTGGACATTTTTCTCTTTTAAAAATCTGTGGTAAAACCTTCTACACTTCATTTTCAATTTTTTTAAAATCCACTCATGGAAAAAGAAACTGATGCTATTGTGATCTGCAAAACATGTTCCATGTACATACTTATGCCTATTGAATACCCAAACTGTATATGACTAAATGTAAATTAATCAAGCTAATAGAAGAAAAAGTAAAGGGTCTTAGAGGGAACTCTAATCACTCTGAAACTCAACCTACAAAATAAGAAAACCCAAACTTTGCAAGAAGAACATGCCCAAATTGAACATAACAATGATCAAACAACCTCTAAAAGAATTGATCCCTTAGAGAAAAAAGAAGACAGATGGAAACATATCACTCAAAGAAAATACAAACCTTGTACAAAACCCCCGTCTAACCCAACCCACTCTAATGCAAGCCCTCTGGTGCTAAGCAATCGATTTCATGGACTCTCCCTGGAAGAAAACATGCAGAAACATAGAAAAGAAGCATCATTAAATGTCCCTATAAAGTAGCACCATCAAATGCTTCTGTGATAGATAGAAAAATATCCCAAACCTCCCAAGGACAAAAAAAGTGAGTGTTGGTGATAGGAGATTCAATTCTCAAGGGAACAGAATCAGCCATTTGTAGGTTAGACAGTCAATCCAGAGAGATATGTTATCTCTCTGGAGCTAAAATCAAAGATGTAGCTGAGAACCTAACTAAAATACTATAAAACCCACAGATTACTACCCTTTTCTACTACTACATGTAGGGATGAAAGACACAAAAAAGGATTTGAAAACAATATTGAGTGATTACAAGCAGCTAGGCAAGAAAGTCTAGGACTTAGGTGCACAAGTATTAGGCAAACAAAAGGTCAACATCCAATAAGAGAACAAAGAATTCTAGAAATGAACCAATAGCTAAAGGGTTTGTGTCATCAAAAAAAACTTTGGATTCCTGGATTATGGTCTATACTATCTCCATGATGGGGTTCTGGCAAGGGATGGGCTGCACCTCAAAAAGACTGGGAAGCAACTAAATTAGTAGACCAGTGAAATATTGTGGACATAATATACCTAGACTTCAGCAAGGCATTCAACAAAGTAGATCACAACCTACTTCTTGGTAAGCTAGAAAAAAGTGGGATAGATAGCTGACAGGCCTGCAGCCATATGTTCTGGTGGATCTCAGGCCTGCAACACTTTCCATTATTCTACTATGCATTTTCTATTGTGGGAAAATGAGAGGGGGGAGTGTATGGAGTTAAAGAGAGTAGCCATAACAAAATTCTGAAAAATGTCATCTAGCTTACCAACCTGACAAAACCTCTCCCCAATTGGAAGAGATGGAAAAGCCGCCAGACAGCAAACCCCATCCAAATTCTGAGGAGAACAGCTGTGAAGATGACCTGATGGTAAGTGCAGCCATCCATCTCTTTGCCATCAAAGCCAAACTTACAGTGCCCAAGATGGAGGTAGAAGGAGGGGTAGAGGCTATCATTGACACACTTAGTGCTTAATTAGCATGTCCATTGTTGAGCAATTAGGCACACACACCAGGCCATTAGCCCATCCCATCCACTTTGAGAAAGTCAATGGGACGCTAATCAGAGGGATCCTAGCCAAGCTAATTACTGAGTTAGTGAGATTGCAAATAGGGTGGCATTATAGATTATAGATTATAGATTCATTGTTGCACCAAAGATGAATGAATCAATCATCCTAGGTCTTGCATGGCTAGACAAATGGGCACCCAGCATAAAGTGGGGGGACATATACCGAAAGTTGGCCATAGGTCTTGGTCCTTTGCCCCCTGTGAAGCCGATGGGTAATTCAGGGACAATCAAGTCTCCCAAAGCAATCAATTCAGAACAGGCCACCCTGGCAGCAGAGGCTAAATTCCTTGGTCTCCAGCAAATACCAAAAGAATATCGGGGCTTGGAAGGGGTTTTTAGTGAAGAGGATTGTAATTATCTTACTCTTTATCAACCAACTGACTGCATGATCGAGTTCATGCCAGGGGACAAACCAGCAAAGCCTAAGATGGATTCTATGACCACTAAGGAAATGACAGAATTAAGAAAATACATCACGCCAATTTGGAACAGGGCTTAATTGAACCAGCTAAATCCAACCAGCTAAAGTAGCCGCCCCTGTACTCTTCAAGGAAAAGAAGAAAATCTACCCCCTCCCCCCATGAAGGACATGTTGAACCACCTGGCCAAGGGGAAGATATTCATCAAATTGGATTTATTGCATACACATTCATGTGAGGAGGATGAGTGGAAGACTGCTTTCAATTGCCCACTTGGTAGTTTCCAATTTAAAGTCATGCCATTTGGATTACAAGGGGCCCCTGCGGTCTTTGTGCAGTTCATTAACAAGATGCTGCATGAGCACCTTTATAATGGGGTGCTCATTTACCTTGATGACATCCTCATCTTTTCTGAGACCCTGGAGGAACATGTGCGATTAGTCTTGGAGAACCTTGGGTATTGTATTTCCAATGAGGAAATAGAGATGGACCCAGGAAAAGTAAAAGCTGTTCTGGATTGGTAACCACCACATACCCGCAAGCAGCCACAAAGGTTCCTGGGATTTGTGAACTTTTACAGACAATTCATCCCAGCATTTGCAGAAGTAATGTTGCCTCTGACTGAACTACTACAAATGGGTCCATCCAAGCCAAAGCCAAAGCCAAATCAGCCAATTGGGTGGACAATGGACTGCCAAAAAGCCTTTGAGAAACTGAAATGGCTCTTTGCCCAGGAGCCCATTTTAAAACACCCAGACCCAGAACAGCAATTCATCATCCAGACAGATGCCAGTGATGTAGTGGTAGTAGCAGTGCTGCTTCAAAGAGATCAAAAAGGAAAACTTTTGCCATGTCCCTATGTCTCCAAAAAACTCATGAGCACCAAGAGGAGATGGACCATCTGGGTGAAAGAAGCTTATGCAGTCTGTTGGGCCCTACTCACATAGAGACACTTCCTAGAAGGGGGGA